AGAGGAAACAATCTTATGGAATATTGGTTAAAAGGACTTAAGCGTAAACAAACATACTAAAAGATAACTCCAACACAAGTAAAGGTACGTGGCATTTTGGTGAAGGAGGGAGGAGGGGGGGGTGATGGGATGCTGGCGGCTGCCGATGAGGAGTAGAGTTAAAAATGAATACATCACGAAATTAGTCCAGTTATGATTTTTTTAATTAGAAGACAATGACTAGATTCTCTATTATGGAACTAAAAATTGTGCTCTTTTGAACATTGTTTCCATATTGAAATATTTAGATATATAATCAAACTTATAACGTTATGATCAGTTTCCTTTATTTTTTTAAATTGTCATTAAATAGGATTTGCCTTTCAATTTTAAGATTTGTTTTCATATTTGTAATTTTGTATTAAAAATGTTGGTCACATCCTGGCAATCAAATACAATATTAAGTTTATTCAAAAGCTTAAATAAATTTATTTTTTTCTCATTTGACGCTTATGATTCACATCTTTAATAAAATGAGTAAAATTGATAATATATATTTGTTAAAATAATTTTTTATAAGCCTTAATGATATTTATTTTATGCAATTGGGTATTAAAATATTTAACTCATATAATTTGATAATTTAAGAAGGTATAATATTATAAAAATAAAGATCCCTGTATATAAAAATCGTCTAAGAAAATAAAGGCACAAAAAGAAGGAAAAGCTAGGCAACTTCTTGCTTGAAAATTCGTTTATATGCATCCTTTCAAATTACAGGGGTATTTTGGTCTAAATAAAAGTTTTCATGCATATTTCCCTAAGAAATGAAATGTTGGGCATATTTCTCTAATTTTAAGTACTATGGTTGCACAATTATTCAATTTTGAGGCTTATGCCTCACTCTACAGACAAAAAATGCCTCAATGCTCAAATGTGAATTTAATGTCTTAGTATGGAACATGTGGGGCCTGCTAATTTCATTCATCGTAATGTTTCATGACTTTAATATGATCATGGAATCTCCTTCCTCCCAAAGTGTGAACCTCGGATCTTTTGGATTCAGAAGAGGATTAATAAGATATAGAGTTCTACCTTTCTTTTTAGAAAAATCTTCACTATATGAAATGATAAGGAATCGCAATCCCTCGACATTCTCCTAATAAGCTTAGTTTGATTTTCACCATTTATGATGATCTACAACTCAAAAAAAATAAAAAATTTCGTATATGGAAAAGATAATAAAGATGACAGATGTGAAAAATCAAAAATCAAAATAAGACCCTAACCTTTTTAGATATCATATAGAATAATAGAATTATTTTGAAAGCTTAGTTTGTTTATTCATCTGATAAGTATTAATGCACAAAGTTGCCTAGAAACTAATTAAAAACCTTCCAGTTCCACTAGCTAAAGAGCAATTCGTGGCACTCCTTTCTTATTTAGCACATAAATTCACGGCACATCACCTTTCTAATCCAGCAACTCATACCAATTTCGTCTGTGTGTGGAGGTCGTATCAATAAATATATCTATTGTTATAAAGACTTTTAAGAATTTCAATTGGCTAATTAAGGCAATGACAAACTTGTAATTTCATAAAGCTATTAAAGATTCATAGAAGCTTCCAATTGGTGAACCGGGTCTACTTGGGAGGCCTAACTTTATTATAAATAGTGAGGGAGGCTTGTACAAAGGAGACCAAGGGAAAGCAAATCAATTGGTTAGAGAAAGAAGAGGAGAAACTTCAAGAATTGAGGGGGAGGATCTTGGAAATCTTGTATCGAGGTGGTTCGAGAGAGAGATCATGGCAAGATGAGAGCTCATTGATTTTGGAGATCTTGTATCGAGGAGATCCGAGAGAGAGATCATGGCAATATGAGAACTTATTTCTCAATGTAAAAACCATGTAATTCTTCTTTATTGCCTTAGTAGATTTGATGGTTGATTTCTCTCCCATGGATGTAAGTCCTATAGACTGAACCACGCAATTTCTTGTTGGTCTTGTTTCTTGTTTGCATATTATCTTTGCTGCTATTTTTTCGTTTCTTTTCCGTGTTTTATTGCCTGTTGCGTTTTCACTTTTTTTCAGCTGTTAGAGAGGTGTTCGACATTTATTGTTTCTTTCTATTCGGCAATCCAATTCTTGATTTTCTTCAGGTGTTCGACAGTGCAATTATTGATTTTCTTGAGGTGCAAAGTGATCCTATTTTTTCTTCAACAAGTGGCGCCGTCTGTGGGAAACCTAGCCATGACAATGGGAACCGCCAAATTTGACCTCGAGAAATTCACCGGAAAGAATGATTTGAGCCGGTGAAGATTCAAGATGAGAGCTCTGTTGGTGTAACATGGTGTTGCAGAAAGTTCTGAGGTAAGTGTCGAGGGAGACGACGACTCAAGCTCTTTGGGCCAAACTCGAACTACTCTATATGACAAAATCTTTGGTTAATAGGCTCTTCTTGAAGCAACGCCTGTACTTTTTCAAGATACATGAAGATAAATCTGTCTCAGAGCAAATCGATGAGTTCAACAAGATTATTAATGATCTTGAAAATGTCGTTGTCAAGATGGATGGCGAGGACAAGACACTGATGTTGTTAAACTCCATTCTTAAGAGCTGTGAGCATTTCAAAGATGCGATGTTCTAAGAAAGAGTGCAAACAATTTCCGTGGAAGAGGTTCAGTCGCTGATTAGAGCAAAAGAACTTTAAAAGAAACATGACATGAACGAGAAAATCAGCAGAGATGATCATGTCGTGAGAGGAAGATCAGACAAGAAAGATTCAAAAAACGATCAGAACATATCAAGATCGAGACAAGTAAAGAAGAGCAAGCGCTACGAGCCCCTCAGGGCTAGGTGGAGGGAATCTCTATTCAATATTTTATAATTGAGAGTCAATGAGAGAATTGTTATAATGACTCTCAATTGGCTAACTAGGACAATGACAAATTTGTAATTTCATAGAAGCTGTTAAAGATTCATAGAAGCTTCCAATTGGTGAACCAGGTCTACTTGGGAGGCCTCACTTTGCTATAAATAGTGAGGGAGGCTTGTAGAGAGGGGACCAAGGGAAAACAAATCAATTGGTTAGAGAAAGAAGAGGAGAAACTTCAAGAATTGAGGGGAGGAACTTGGAGATCTTGTATCGAGGTGATTCGAGAGAGAGATCATGACAAAATGAGAGCTCATTCCTCAATGTAAAAACCTTGTAATTCTTCTTTATTGCCTTAGTGGATTTGATAGTTAATTTCCCTCCCGTGGATGTAGGTCCTATGGACCGAACCACGTAATTCTTGGGTGTTTTTGTTTCTTGTTTGCATATTATCTTTGCTGCAGTTTTTTTTGTTTCTTTTCCCTGTTTTATTATCTGTCGCGGTTTCACACTCTTTTCGGTTGTTAGAGAGATGTTCAATATTTATTGTTTTTTCATATTCGGCAGTGCAGTTCTTGATTTTCTTGAGATGCAAAGCGGTCCTATTTTCCTTCAACATATATATATATATATATAATTTTTAGAAAAATATGAAATCAAATTGACCCCATACTTTTCATACTTTACAAGAGAGACAGAGAAAGAGAGAGAGAGAGAGATACAAGTCTTGGTTAGTCACCTCAAATTCCTGCCTGCGTAGTTCTTCTTTCTTTGCCTCTGACCTAGAACTCCTTTGCACCTCAAAGACTACAACAACCCCAGCAACCTGGCAAAGTGAAAAAACCCATGATTTACACGAAATTTACTCATACATGTCAAGGGTACAAGTAAAAGGCTGACTGTAAGTTCTACCATAACTGAACAAGTGAACCACATTCTTAGTGTGTGGTGGGTGTTTAGTCATGCTTGTTTAGATAAAAAAAAAAGGAGAGGAATGAAGCATTGAAACAATATCACTAAACAGGAAATTGGGAACGAGTAGACGGGTTAAGGAAGAGAACCGAGAAAACAAAAAGCTCTCCGATGAGATCTGCAGCAGCTTGTACAGCCTTTTCTTCATTCAGGGGTCGTATTGCTACATCAGTTGAATGAGCATATATGTTCCTTTGTATTGTTGTAGTGAAACGATGGTTCATCTGAATATAGGTACAATATTATAACACATTAACACAGATAAAGCAAGTGCTTCAAACATAGAAACAACATCATATAAAACTTTCTAATTTTGAATAAAATATATGGTGTTAAAAAGGGCATTTCGTGTGTACAGAAATGTCCTCTCACAGAAAATGACTAAGAAACTTCCATAAACTTTAAGAAATGATTCTATTGAGGCCGGGTTGAAGGTGCCTTTATTGACGATAGGACAGTTTAAAATAGATTTAGGGGCCATTTCGTTGCTCCGAATAGAAAAAAAATTGTTTTAAAAAATGATTATTTTGAGTGAAGAAATGAAATCATTATTTTATAAAGTTCTGGGAAGGTCCAAGCAAATGACGTTTTCAAGAAGTTTCATCATTTTTCAAAGCATGATTTCCACATCCAAGCAATCAAATGAGCACTTTAGTTGTTCGAAAATGTATAATGAAATAGAAACATGCTAACATTAAATGAATATATAAAATCAATGATGAAGAATTAGGAAGGGTAAGGTAGACTAAGAAAAAATATGTACTTTCTGTAGAATATTTGCAATAATAGGGTTTAAAATCTCATGCAATACTCAGTACGTGCAATAAGAAATGAGGATTCAAAAGGCTAGCTGAAAATGTTAGGATATGGCTAATGATGATGATCTAATATAACATCATTGTCACTCTTACAATCACCATTATTAACACAACACACACACACACACACACATTTCTTCACCACATAAACTTCCTAATCATTTAGCTTTAGAATATATTTTCTTCATTACACAACAAGCCTATGCCCTTGCGAGACAATAGCTCTCATTTGCCCGCAAGCATGCAATCTTTCTATTTTCTTGGTTTCCTTTGCAATGTCTTACCCTTGATATATGACACTTCAACACACTTTCCCACTAATTATTTCAGCTTTCCTTTAGTCAATTTATCAATAAAAGCACCTCACAAGTGTTGAAATAAACTAAAAGTGAAACAAGCCTTTCATTATATTCATTTTCTTCATGCTTACAAAAAAGGCAACACTTTTCACAAATTTTATAAATATAAGCATTTTTTTTCATATTTATCATCATTCATTTACTGGTTTCAATTCAGCTCCTGGGTAGTATATGTATAAAACGGTGCCTGATTCTTCCTAAATAAAAACTTAATTGATCTTCATTAGCTGACTTCCAAACATTCCCTAAGAATGCACATTAATAACAAGAACGGACTAAAGCTTCCAAAAATAACAAATAAACTCAATATCTCAATCAAAATCACCTAACATTTTTATCCATCAATATGTGAACTTTTCTTCTTACCAGCTAAATTCAAGCATAAACACTCTCATTCATCTTCCATTTCTCCTAATTCCGCTCTTTCTTCTTAAAAATTAAACAAAAGCCAAAAAACTGATCCGGATATCAGCTCAGAAAGCAATCTTTCAACCATTTCAGCAAAATAACACCACAATCGATCAGAGAAATCGAATTAAATTGCGAAAGTGAGTAAGAACAAATGTTCGATTAACCTGAGCAAGATTGACGATGAGCTCGCGGAACCTCGGGTGGACGCCGGCCTGCTGCTTAAGCCTGGAAGCTATGGGTTTTGCTAGGGTTCTTATGGCCAGGGTTCCCAGCTTCACAAACGGCAGCATCATTTTGATGTTCCCTCTCACTCGAACGCCTTCTCGTGGTTTGATTCGCCGTCTAGAGTTGCTGGTTGTTTATTTAGTTTCTTCTCTGT